CGCGTTCTTCAATCAAAAGGCCCTCGATAAACTAATGGTCTTTTGCTACTGTCTGTAAGTACTATTTCTGTCATTAAGTCTCTATATATAGCTCGGCTCTTTCATTACATGTATTTATAATTAATTATCCTCAATATATTATGCAGATTGAAGATCGTCGAGTGCAAAAAAATAAGAAATTTATGATATTGGGTTCATTAACACAAATATCATAGATGAATTTCTGGTTAAAAAGGACATCAAAGAGGCCGAGGACAACGTGCTACAATCGTTGATAAAAAATCAAAACAAAGATACCATACTTTTTCCTTACAACGGCAAGTGAGTGTTACTGTCGTGTGCATATTCGGTTTCCCTTATTACTCGAGCGAGGTTATAGTAATGTAATTGATGAGTTATGCATGCGTGCGCAGGTACCACTATATTCTTCTGGAGATTAAGCTTGAGCGTGGACTAGTAACCGTCTTAGACTCGAGACGGAAAGATCGCAAATCCTATGCGGACATGACTGAAATGCTCAGCAAGTAAGTTCAATCGATCATTATCGCACCATATCGGCAACTTTTTGTTCATTTCCTGATATCTCAAGTAATAATAATTATTTTCTTTGTCTTGCAGGGTTTGGAAACAGTTCACCGCACAAGCTTCGGGACTGTCGAAGGAGCTGCGATATACATACCCGAAAGTAAGTACTACTGGCTAGCTAGTTGCGCGCATCTCCCGTTGATTCTATAGCTATACTTTCATCAATGCCATTTATAATGCTTCATTATCAGTTTGATTGACCTCTATTTCTCGTAAAGTGCTTGTGGCAGGAAGAAGGGAATGATTTCTGTGGATACTACGTGTGCGAGTTCATCCACAACACGACTTTGATAAACAAGCGGGGCTACTCTCAACGACAATATGAAGTGCGTAAGCAATGATATTCACAATTTTATTTTATTACACCATCATTTCTGTTGAGTTTCATTCATATATATGTATTAATTAACCCCCTTCTTCAAATTAGACGTGGCAGATGCAGAATGAACTCCTAGAACCAGATCACATGAAAGGAATTCAAGAGGAATTGGCGGGATTCTTTCTTGACCACGTCATCAATAAAGCCGGAGAATACCATGTGAAAATTGATTTCAATTGCTAGGGGATTGTAATTAAGAGATCTTATACATATTGTACATGTATGTAGCCAGTAGCGTCAGATACATGATATACGAAAACTTGTTGTTCGACCAATCTCTCGGAGAAAGAGAGGTCGATCGATCACTTCTCTCGGTATGCATGACGAACTTCTGTACTGAATGGTTCTCTCGATCACTTATGTATATATATAGTATGTAGCGTCGACCAAGCACGGACATAAGAGAGGACACTTCTCTCTATTAATTAGCTAGCTAACACAATATATGAAACATCTAAATTAACCCCCCAAAACCCCCAACCCCCCCTCCTTTCAAAAAAAAATAAAAATAAAACCCCAGCCACTGGAATGCTGACGCGTGGATGCCTTTTGGTCCCGGTTGGAGAGCCACCAACCGGGACCAAAGGCCCCCTGACTGGGCTCGGCGCACAGGGCCACGTGGAGGAACATTGGTCCCGGTTCGTGTTTGAACCGAGACTAATGGGTGGAGGTATTAGTCACGACCCATTAGTCCCGGTTCATGAACCGGGACTAAAGGCCCTTACGAACCGAGACTATTAGGTGTTTTTCTACTACTGGCGCCTTGCTCTATTGCCAGCCGAGTCGTGCCCCTTTGCCTGCCGCGCCGGGAGGATTCTGGCGGCCAGGCTGAGGTCATGGGAGGCCATGGCTATGTCGAGCTCGTCAATTCAAACCGGCGGCAATCGATTGCAGCGCCTAGCGGCTTTTTTCGGTGAGCGGTGATGAATTCCAGCGAGTTTAGGGCGGATTCCGGCAAACTCCACGGCGGCGTGTTTGCTCCGATGAGGTTTTACCGGTATACGGGGCCCCCTAGATTCGGCGTTCCAACCTCCAAAGATAAGGGTTTTGGGTGTGCATTTGTGGTGGCCCTTAAAAATTTTACGGGTTGTACCACTTTTACGGTTTCTGTTCTAGACACTCTTTTCGCCCAAAACTGTAAAACGAAAAAAATACAGGTTTGACCACTTATGCGGGTCTGCTAGAGATGCTCTAATACTTCACCCTAAGATCGCTATCCGACATGCATCTCAAAATATTAAGTTCACAAGAAACGGGGCATTTAAATAAGTATGATGACATAATATAAACAACAAAACATCAAGCAATATGAAGAGATAATGTCGTTTTATCCTTAGTGGTAACAATACAATATGTGTCTTGTCCCTGGGATATAGATCATCACAAGATTAGAACCCACTACAAAGCACCACTCCCTTTGAAGAAAAACCATCGGACTTGACCAAAGAAGATAGATCGGAGAACATGCGGAGCTATTAAATTATACAACAAGAAAACCTCAAAAAGATTCAATTGAATTCAATAAACAATCTGATCATAAAGCGATTAATCATCATACCCGAACAAATACATCCATGGATTACATTGAATTGATCCTGATCATGTGAGACGGCTCACGGGAACTTACTATTGAAAATCAATAGAGAGAGAAAGAGAGATCTAACTACTGATTTGGACCCTAAGGTCCTAAGGAAACTACTCACACATGATCATGGAGGCAGCAAGGTTGATAAAGAGGTCTCCGGAAATGGCTTCCCCCTCTGGCAGGGCTCCAAAACAGTGCTCCAGATGGGATTTCTTCGAAACAGAGATCAAATTCTTCTGGAGGCGCCGCAAATGGTTTTGGGATTTATAGGAATTTATGACGGTGGAATCAGGTCAAGGCGGTAAGTGTGGGCCCCACACGGACAGGGGGCGCAACCACCCCCTGGCTGCTCCACGTGTTCGTGTGGGCCCCTTGTGGCTCACCTCGATCTCTCCCGAAGTTTTGGTGTTTATTATTACCCAAAAAATCATGTAATCAACAACGTATTTGGACCTCCGTAGATATTAGTTTCATGCGAACCAAAAACAAACAGAAAACGAGAACTGACACTTAGCACTAAACTAATATGTTAGTCTAGAAAATAGTATAAAATGATAATAAAATTATATAGAAATGATAATATAATAGTATGAAACAATCCAAAATTATATATACATTTGAGGCGTATCAAGCTCGGCTTACAAGTGGGCTCATACTATATTTAGCAAGTTGAGAGTATCTTGTGGGTGTTTAATTTTATTTCTTGTTTCTTTTATTACGAGCCCACTATTAAACATGCTAATGGAATTTTCCTTTTTGAGTTTCAGACAATTTTTGCATGGACCGTTAGATTGAATCCATTGACGGGCGGCCTTCATCTTCTTCCTCCAGCTAATACCGCACCCCTTCCCCAAGTACCATCAACTGAGCCACCGGTCCCGTCTTGGTCGAGCTGCCGTCGTTTTTATCTCCGGCAAAGTCTTGGTGACCCCTTCTCACGGACGCCGTGGTGGCATCCCCATCTCCGGCTCGACATTTGATGTTGTTCTTCTCTGGAAGAAACTCAACTGAACTGGAAAATAATTCCATCATATGTGTAATAGCAATTGTGTTCTTATTATTGCTTGATATATACTATTGCACGACACTATGTGCGTGGACGTTTGTTCTATTGGTGTATATACACCCTATATGAAAAAATAGTAATTAAATGAAAAGCAAAAAAATAAAAATATGTTTGAATTAAACTTGAACTTCCATTGTACTCATAAGAAGAATTCCACATAAGAAAAACACCCCTTTGACTTCAGGGCAAAAAAAAAAACAATTGGTCAAAATAGTGCAAGGAGTGACTTGTATATAGCAATATTTTTTTCCTTGAAGTCAATGCTAGGTTTTTATTCGTGAAAATTTATATACTGGTGCAAAAGAAAGTCAAGTTTATTCAGAAAAACTTTTGAATTTTTCTGTAATTATTAAACTTTTTTCCAATATAAATGTATATACAGCCAGTAACCAGGGGCATTTCCCACGACACTATAGACAATGGTCCGCTCCAGAAATTTCATGTGATCAACTCAAATAAGTTTAGTGCTTTAGTCTTTTGAGCCCATCTTCAACTTTCATTCCGGATTCACCACTATATTCCATTATTGTAATGGTAGTAATAAACAACAATGTATATTTGTATCTTTTTGTACCGGAAAAGTATAAAAAGTTGAGCTCTTTGTGTAATTCTGTAACAGGCTCCAGTAAGGCGCGTGATATCATGTGTGACCCAAACATCTCTGTGGACGACCGGGCTAAGATCACTACTATTATGTGGTCGATATGGCATTCCAGAAATCGGATCAAACATGGGGAGGTAGGACGAGACCCAGCCTCTACTATTCAAGCCACAAAAGAAGCAATAGCTTTGCTGCAACTACCTAGAAAGGCAGCTATGATCCTGCCAGGTTTTGGATGGCGACCACCCGAGGAGGGTGTCGTTAAAATCACCACCGATGGAGCTCTCGATTTGAATGGTGGCAATGGGGGAGCAGGTGGAGTCGCCCGTTCGTCCACAGCGTTTTTGGGAGCTTGGAGTAAACCTTTCTCTGGGGTGTCTGATCCCCTGATCATTGAGGCTTTGGCACTGCGGGAAGGAGCTCGTTTGGCAGCACTTCGAGGCTTCCTTCAGGTGATAATGGAGGTAGATTGTCTAGGCTTGTGTCGCTCTGGAGTACTCGCCACTTTTCTCGTTCTATTGTGGCGCCAATCTTGTTAGAAATAGGAGAGCTCATTAGTAGTTTCACTTCTTTTGATATTCAACATGTAAGTAGGTCAACTAATGTGCCGGCGCATCTTTGTGCAAAACATGCATGCACCTTGAATGTGACCAAAACTTGGCTGGCTGAGACCCCTAGCTTCCTTGTGACCAGCCTTCTGGCTGACTGTCCGGGGAATGCTCTTATCTGAATAAAGCTCTCTGATTTGCCTGCAAAAAAAAAGGCTCCAGTAAGGCAAATTTGGTCATCTGCCAGTGGTGGCCCAAGACACGTCATCACTGCAGACATTGACCGACGACGACGCGTTGTAGGCATGTGATCCAGGAGAAAAGTCGGGCCCCGGCCTTGACAGGATCGGCAGCGTGAGGTCTTCGGATTGCAAGAAGTTCATGAGCTGCACAACGGACGGCCGCACGCACGGGCTCGGGTGTGTGCACCAGAGCCCGACGACCAGCGCGCGGTGTAGCTGCCACTTGCAATCGTCGAGCTGCTTGTCTCTCTTTATCCTTTCATCCACCGCTTCAACAATGACGCTCTTCTCGTACAGGTTCCAGATCCACTTGAGCAGCGGTAGCGCCCTGTCTACTTTGTCAGCTGTTGTTGGTTGCTCCATCTCCATCTCCGTGTCCGGCCGCTGGCCGGACACTACCTCCAACACAACGATGCCAAAGCTGTAGACATCGGATTCGGCGGTCGGCCTGCGTGTGCGGACGAACTCCGGGTCTATGTACCCTGCAGTGCCAATGACAACTTGATGCTGCGTGATGAGTCAAGAAGTATGTTGCTTGGTTTGATGTCGCCATGCAGCACACACTGATCCCACTCTGTGTGGAGATAGTGTAGTGCAGATCCCAAGCCAAGGATAATTCTGTATCTGAATGTGGTGTGGTGTGTTAGGTTAACTAGTAATGGGAATGATGGAAATGATGAAAAAAACTAGTAACAGGAATGATGGAAAAAAAGACATTCCATGCCGTGATGGTTTTGTTGCGTACATTACCTCTCTGACCAAGTGAGTAGACGATCAGTGTTGTATATGTGTCGGTCAAGGCTGCCTTCCAGCACAAGCTCGTAGACGAGCAGGAGACCTTTGCGGCTACCGGACCGGTGCCTCAGCCGGCTTATGATTTTCACCTCGGATTCAAACTCTTTCCTCCCCTACGCAGATGATTCCGAGGAGAGCATCTTGATGGCCACTGGGCAGTCTTGGTCGCTCAGGCTGCCTCGATACACGTTGCCAAAGCCACCTCGCCCGAGCTTCCCCTCCTCCGCGAAGTCCTTGGTCGCAGCCGCGAGCTCACGGTAGCGGTACCGTCTAGGGCCTATCCCTCTCTCGAACTCAGCCTGCTCGCGTTCTTCGTTGTTGGAATCGTCTAGTCTCTTCCATATACGTCGCCGACGGACTAGGACGACGGCGATGACGCAGAGCAACACTAGAAAAGCTACTACTACGAAAGGCACTAGCACATGCACTAGTCGCCGCCGGAGACTGGTGCTGCTACCTGCTAGTAGCCACCATGGCATCATCTAGAGTGGAGCTAAATGACCAAGACATCACCTGATGCAGCTCGCTGCAGAGGCCAGTTGATGCGGCGAAGCCGATTGCAACTCCATGAGGCAAATCCGCCTTCATGTCCACCGACGTGTTCACCATGTCCGGCTCGTCGTCGTTGATGCGAAGACGGGCGATCAGGACACCTGTGTGGTTGTCGTAGTTGATCTCGGCAGTCATGACCGCGTCGTTAGAGACCAAGCGCTTCGTCACGTTTGTGTAGGCGCTGGAGTTGATGTTGTTCACGTCTATGCCGATGTGGTTCAAGTGGTTGTCGTTGTGGTCCCAGGAGTTGGGGTAGGCGTCGAACTCCACCGTGACGATGCGGTCATCTCCGGCGGCGTTGAAGCGGTTGCTGTCGTTGAAGAGAGCGAGGTTCTCCCCGACGCTGTTGGGAGGGAGCCTCGACGGGAAAGTGCCCCAGGAAGAAAGCCATGCCGTCACCAGCACTGTCACGAGTGACGTGGCTCAAGCTGCATAGATGAAGATTTTCGTCCGTCTCGTCCTTGGGCCTGATCCGGAACGTGAAGTTGGAGGAAAAGCTGGCCACCTTGCCGGTGGCGTTGTTGCAGAGCGGCACCAGCCGAGCATATGACGCTCGGCCGACGCTGAAGAAGTTGGCTTTGAGCTCGTTCTTTGTTAGCTCAATAGCGTCGGAGCCCATGCGCGCGTCGCGTTCGCACCTGAGCTCCGTTTCACAGAGGTCGCCGGAGCTGGAGAAGTTGAAGCTGAAGGAGAGCACGGTAGCCATTGACAAGGACGATGAGTAGCTGAGACAAATGTACACGGGGACGGGTAGGAGGCGATGCGGCCTCATTATGGTTGATATTTGGCTCGGGATCGAGAGACGGGGTGAGACAGCTATAACTAGCTTCATTCGGTTCTAGTGGCACCTCCCCGCCCGGACAGCTTCAGGATCAGGTGGCGCCACGCAGGCTCGATGTGATATGTCTCCCAGCTTTGAATTTTAGTTTCGCTTCTACACTAGTGCCGGCATTCCGTCGGTTTTCACATGTGCTAGTCCACTGGCCTACTACTACAAGGACGCAGACGAGTCGTGTCGCACACGACGATCACACCCACTAAAATCTAAGAGCATCTCCAACCGTTGAGCCCCCCAAAACAACTTTTTCAGCAGTTTGGAGTTGATCCGGCGATAAATTTAGCTTGGGGGTCAAAAATTACCCAGCCGTGCCCCCCACCCAACAGCAGTGGAGTGCCCAGTTCACAGCAAATCAGGCCACGCCCAGTCCACGGCGACCATCTCCTCCCTGCTCCTCGCGCCCGCCAGCCAGCTGCCGCCGTGCTCCCGCGGCCGGCCTCCCCGCCGTGCGCCCGTCCTCCTGCCGCCCCTCCACCTCCATCTGCAGCAGCTCCTCCGCCGAGCTCCGCCCCGGTCGCGCGCTCCGCCCAGCCTCCCGCCTACCTGCTCGTCGTCCGTCCTCTCTCCCGTCGAAAAAGAGATGAGAGAGAGAGGAGAGAGGAAGAGGCTGACAGTAGGTCTTTTGCATGGGATAAGTAGCGCGGGCGCCCCCAGCTCCTTGGGTTTGGGCTGGGATCGCCGGCG